CTTAGCATGTGAGAACAAAAAAATTGAATAGTGAAGTCAAAGAAAAAGAAAAGGGTGTATCAACCTTTATTTTGCTGAGAATTGAAAGAAAAAATGAATTTAAACCTAAATTGGATAAAGCTAAAATCTAAAAATCTCTATTGATACACTTAATACACCTAATTTTAGTTGATTTCTTTTGGATTTTTGAAGAAGATGAATTTAGTGTATATACATGTATATTTAAATTCAGCCAATTATGAAACTTTTAGATATATTTACGTTATAACATTGCAACATTTATAACATTATAGTTCAATATTTATAAAAAATATCTAAATCATTTGTACTTATATTATGTATTCTTGATAGTTTTCTGCGGGTTTTTTTTATAAAAAATTTCTGCATAATTTATTCTCTCTTTGTTCTCATGGCCTGATTTGATCAATTCCTGTTAATTTTTTAGATAATTTAAAAATGTGACACTAGTGTAAAAGTAATATTATAATTATACACATTAAGAATTATATGAAAATGTATTGTAGGGATTAGAATTGAAGCAAAAAAGAAAGCCTGAGAATGTACTTGCTTATATATTCATAGCTTTGAAACAAAAAGGAAGAAGTCTATAAGAAAACAAATAATGCACTAAAAGAAAATTAATTTTTATTTTCGCTAGAATTATTTGGAAAAATAAATTTAAACTTCAATCACATAGCTAAAGTATATTCTCTTTGCCATAATAAAATAAAATAAAACCATAAATCTCCACTATATTAATGACTTAGGAGAACTAAAAATTGGTTAATTTCTGTTGAATTTAAAATAAAAAAAAAAAAAAGAAACTCATTTAGGAGATGCTGCGAATGCCTTTGGAGTGTCGCAAAAGTTCTGAATCAGTTGTGGAGCATAAGGGGCTAAGGGGAAAAAAACTGACCAACAACTCTTGCTGATATTTAGAATTGCATTACAACAAGAAGAGGAAGGGGTAAGACCTCCAATTGGAAAAGTGAAAAGTGACAGCAAGCATCCTTCAATACCATTAAAGGACGCCAAACACTGATTAATTTGAGAAGTTCCTGGAAGTCCAGGAATTCCTGGAAATCCAGGTAATAGCTGGGTGTGACTTGGTTGCACCAACATTGCAATCCAAGTGGCCAGAAGCAGTAATTGAATGGCTTGTTGAGCTTTGCGTGACATGTTTGACTGGTAAATTTTTTTGTCTTTTCGTATTACTAGGAGTTAATTGATCAAGAGCAGCCTATTGCAATGAAAAATTAAAACGAATAGAGTGACTATTTATGCTATAGTAGAAATGTGAGTAACTAAGCTTCTTTAATATTATTTTTAATACTATTTATAACATTAACTCAGTTGTTACTAAATCATTAATTTTGGAGTGAATTCTAATTGTTGATTTACTTAAATTTTATTGAAACTGATGATTTATGTTAGATTCCTATAGAATAATTCACTCTTGTTTATAGAAGCTCCAATTAATGGACAAAATTTTGTATAGTAAGTCTACCATGATATCTTTTTTTCCTAATTAGACGAATGTGCATTAAACAAAGACCGAGTCTTCTTACTAATTTAAAGAATTAAAGCTTCATTACAACAAAATAAATTCTCACGTTGCTTTTTGATCAAGCATATTCTTTGTTTACAAATACTTCATCAAATCAGATCGACACTACAAAAAGAATTTGCATTACTCATTGAAAATAAAAAATTCCTACTAGGATGATTTAGAGGTTTTTAATTCACTAAGAGAATAATTACTCCTTAAAAATTAAATACAGAGTTTGTTAGAATTGGATGTCTATCCCTTTTAGAACTTCGAGTTTATCAAATTGAATATCTATCCTTTTTAGACTCTTAGACTTTGTATATTTTTTGTGTTCCTTCATTAATTTAAATAGAACAGGACGCCAATCATAACTAATCTTAAGAAATAAATAATCACCAAACCACATATAAGAATGATTCTAATTGCATATTTATAGAATGGAGTTCTAATATCATCTCTTTGGGGAAGGTCTAGTAGTTTTCTTTTATTTATAAATAACGATGTAACTTTAGCTTATACAGTTTTGAATATAATTTTGGGTCATGTCTTATCTGTATAATTTTTTTTTTTTGGTTAGTTTCTTAGTGGGGCTCTTTTTGGTTAACGTCTCCGTAATTTATTTTCTCTTTGTTCTTAGGACATTAAGCGATTAACCGTAAAATTTCATTACACTTTTTAGTGAATTTAATAGCCAACATCACATTAGTGATTAACCATAAAATTCCCCTTAAAAATTAATTCATTGTTGGCACCAACAAAAGGAGTTGGTTAAGACTAATGTGCACATGTCAATGCTTGAGAATCATAGCTTAGAAGCAAAAAGGAAATTAACTAAAAGAAAATTATTTGATTTTCTAATTTATTTATAATGAATTGCAAAAATAGATTTATACCTCATTAACCCAACCAAGCATTTCCTTCTTACTTGAATAAAACATTAAATCTCCACTAACTTACTAACTTATGAGCACTAGAATTTGGTTGATTTCCTTTTGCGTTTGAAGAAACGGAAATTATTTAGCATGAGGTGAAGATGACTTTTAAATGTTGCAGAAGTTCTCGATCAGTGGTGGAGTATAAGGGGTTAAGGGGAAAAAAAGAGACCAACAAATCTTATTGATATTTATAATTGATATTTACAAATGTGTTGCAGCAGGAAGAGGAAGGGTTAAGACCACCAATTGGAAAAGTAAAAAGTGATGACATGCACCCTTGAATGCCACTCAAAGATGCTAAACACTGATTAATTTGTGAAGTTATTGGAAGTCCTGAAATTTTCAGAAATCTTGGTAGCAACTGGGCGTGTCCTGGTTAGACCAATATCGCAACCCATGTGACCAAAAGCAATAGTGGACCAGCTTGTTGAGTTTTGCTAGACATATTTGATTAGTAGATTTTTTACTTTTTGTTAGTACTAGAGTTGATTGATAAAAAAGAGCAGCTTACAAGGATGAACGGTTGAAATGAAGAGAATGAGTATTTATTTTATAACAGAAATGAAACTTATTGAGATTCTTAATTACCATTTTTAAATTACAACATTAATTTAATGGTTATTAAGTTATTAATTTTGGATCAAATTCTAACGGTAGATTTACTTGAACATTAGTTATAGAATATGATCATTTATATTTATCTACAGGGATTTTGTCGTCTCTTAGTCTACCCAAAAAATATTTTTTTTTAAAAAAAAAAAGAATTTATCCAAGCTCTAACTAAGGAAAAAAATTATATATACTAAATCTATCATGATAACATTTTTTTTGATTAAATGTATCACTCTCATTGTCTACGGATTACTGTCTTAAAGCTACAATAAGAAGTTTTTCTACACCCGCATAACAATAATAAAAATAATAATATTCTCCTAGGCCAATCTCGTATGGGGATATAAAATATAATATTATGTGGATTTTTAAACTTTCTCTTAGTACATATTTATAGAACTTATTAAAACTGAGAACAAATTCATGTTGTTAAGTTTGTTCTTTGCATTCTAATACTTAATCAAACTCTGTCAAAACACTAAAACAAAAAT